ACTTCAGGGAGCTGTGCAGCAGTTTTAACATGCTACCACTAGGTGGAGCTAAAAGCTGATATTTTGAACTAATGATCAGAGGCTGCTGTAAGATGCACACAGCAAACATTTTGGGCCTGACACCACAATTTGTGCACAGCGTACACAGCTACTTCAGACGCACATACAAAAACCAGCTCATCCACACGTGTGCGATCTGCACATCATACAGAACATTTATGGTTCATTCGATCCTCAAAATACGGAATCATCCTCATCAGACTGTCACGTGTCCCTGTGGCGACTCCAAGAAAGGCCTCGTCTCACGCTGAGCTTTGATTTAACAGGTGAAACACATCCACACCTCAGAGTACCTGTTAACGGCTCCTCCTGCAGGTTTTGGGTCGGTTGTATAACTCCACGTGTTAGTGGATCTTTGTGTACAAACATCCTGAACCAACTGAACCCATGATCTGTGCTTAGGCAGATGATCAGAAGCACAAGCTTAAGAAATGAAGTTTCAGTCAGTGGGCAGGACCTCCTGAGAGGCAGCTCTCCTGTACCAAAGATGAGTGCTCAGCACAGGCGAGCAGCCATTCATGCCCTGCTGCTTAAACAACATTAAACAGGTTTTAAAGCAGCCGACATGAGTTCATCTGGTATTTAAAGCTGGTAAAATGAGTTCACTTTGTAGAGCCGAGTAACAGGACCACAGTAAGATAAAACAATATCGATCATTTTGAGAATAAAGTCAAAAATCTATTTAGAGAAAAACACTGAAATGTGGCGATGACAGTCGTTTTAAGTGCCACGGCTGCACTGTGAGCTGGTGAAAAGCTTCAGGATCAGGTTTAGTTGCAATAACTAATCTGCACATTTCCACTTTATTCTCAGAAGGACCTTTATGTTAATGTGCTCCCTACACTCCTATGTAGGAAGGACACTTTCAGCAGGAGACGAGGCCAAAGATTTTTGTAAAGCTCCAGTGGATTCAAAGTTCAGAGTTTGCATAAAGGTGGCTTTAATAAAGACACACTTACAAATAAAGGTTTTTTTAAAGCTTTAACTCCAGAACAAACTGGAGAAACTTCTCAACTTTTAGTTTTCAGACGACGGCGCTCTCAACTCAGCACGCTCGCCATGATGTGTCACTTTGTATCCAGACCTCCTGCTGGATTCTTCTTCATATTTCACACGTCTTTGCAAACTGTGAGGTCGCACACAACAAAACAGAACAGAGATGCATCTGTGCGGACGCTGTTTGATCCCAGGGAAATGAATGAATCGGATATCTGATCGGAGACCGAAGCAGAGTAGTGTTACTGGTCAGACTTGTGCCTTATAGAGCTCTTCAAAGTCCTGTTTCACTTTTTTCCACCCAACACACACGCACACACACCTGCAAATTAAATTTAATAAATAAGACGTACAATGTTGTAAGGCAAGGTTGATCATGCACTTGTCACGATAAACAACAACATACATGGCAGCAGAATCACTCCCACCCACCAACCCTTCATATCAAGCTTTCAGATTGTTGCCTGCTGACGTCCTGATCTCGTACCCCCGATTTCTGCAGCAGGGTGAACTCTTTGTTC